GGATTTTTTTTTTTTTTTTTTTTTTTTTTTTTTTTTTTTTTTTTCATAAAGGCCTATCAATAAGATATACTATGGGTTTCGAGAAGTCCTTCAAGATTCAACCCTTTGACCTACAGTTGTTGTCTGCCACTCAGAAGCGGCTCGGTTTATGCGGGATATCCAGGTCTCCTCGAAGAATTATTTTGCAAAAAAACCACGAATCTCTCGTTGTACATAAACACGTAGTCGGATGTTTTAGCTGCGAAAAGAGCCACATCCACCGATCGATCAGTTTCACGTGTAGTGAAGGTGATGGAATCATCTCATCGAAACAAACGGCAATTTAAATATCAAAACAAAGCTAAAATTAGCTCATCAAAGACAGATAGAAGACATCATACCGGTCAGCGGAAAATCTATTTATTTGAAGCTTTTTTGAATACACGTCTTTTTGTGCTGTTCACATCAGGTTTTGAATACTACGAATCATTTACAATTCTTCCACTCATCATAACATAGCATTCTTTTCAGTTCGGAGCACATATTCATAATCTTCGGCTCTTTCTTTTAATGTTGCCGGTGTTTGAACTAATAATGACTTGTAAATACACGTACATATCCTTGGTGAACCCTCATCCAGGTACAAGAGATCCATAAAAGAGGTAAAGGATATAAAGGTTTATTTTTTTACTAGCATTCTTACGAAGAATTTTCTAATCGGGTGAGATTATATAGCTCTCATCCGTTCTCATGATTTTTTGCAAAAGCTACTTTTCAGCGAAAATGGCCCAGGGAAAGGCCAAAGATCGCTTGTTCAATATACTGAGTCAATGTCTGTTGATAAATTATGTCACGATCAGATGGAATTTGAAAAGATGCCTGGCTCGGCGTCCACGAGATATCATTTGAAGAACCATCCCATCCTAAGTCTGAATGCTACTAAAAAATAAAAAAATTAGCGACGACCCCGGTGAGGATCGAACTCACGATCTCAAGATTAACAGTCTTACGCCTTAACCAGCTTGGCCACGGAGTCATTCTGTGTTTCTATATTATGAAACAGCCTTGAGTTGTCTCTTAAACTACGAGTAGATCGGTTTATAGATAGTTCAGCCTTAGTGGATAGGCCTAGTCTATCTGTCGTATTCTCGATGTCTAAAAAGTGTTGTCCTTCTTCAGGGATGTCTCAGCCTCACGCTCCTTTATAGTTCGGAACCATTCTATACAGTAGGTGAGGGGTAACCCCGATCAGGAATGTTTAGACTCTTCGTCCTTCGTATTATACAGGATGACAAGAATCTATAATCTTGTTCATGTCGTATCATAACATTTTAAGAAACTTTCCGTATTTTATTCTTAGCTGGATCTTTCAGAGGTTATTAACTCTTACTTGTGGGAGAGGCCACGGGATAATAGAGCTGTCTAGGCGAAATAGGTCGCCTGACACGGGATAGGCCGTTGGCTCAGAGGATAAGACTGATAAGCTTATCCTAGTAATATTGATACCGGAAGCGTACGGTAGTAACGGAGAGTAACCTTTATTAAGGTGATCTACTCTTATGTAATAAGGCTTACCCTTCTAACTAACAGGGTGTTCAATCACCTTCATATTCACTTCTCTACGTCTGGCATATACGACATGCCAGACGTCACGTGCACATTCTACCAACGTGCCACGTAACTAACAGACTAATCCCAGAGGATGGTAACATCCTCGGGAAAGTACTGTTACATGTGGGATGATGAGTTAAGTCTAGTCATTTGTTTATGTATAAACGTTTCATTAGATCAATTTGCTCATCATGCTCTCTTTCATATTAGGTGAACAAAGTTAAAAGACGGATGCATTACATAGATATGGCGTATTATCCCGCACAAGCGACTACTACAGGAGACCTATCCTAGGAGTCGACTCAAAAAAAAAAAAGAAGAAGTAATATCCAATACGTAAACAGATATGTGCCATGAGGACCGTCCAGGCCGTGACTAACCGAAGGGGATGGGCCGAGCTAAGACACTTGATACGTAGCTGGGGGCTGATTAAAGGTTTTTTTATATATATTAGTTATATAGTTTTGCCCCTTTAATCAGATGAATCTACCAAAAAAAAAAAGACTGAAAAAAAATACAGTGTCTGCTGGGCCTCATCCGGGCAGATTACATATAGACCTGATGAGATTGAAGCAATACAATGGTCACGGGCCCTCAAGAAAACATATCCTATGGGACGACGACATTTGGTTAAAATTGTTCAAATGGTTGACATTGGTTATGGGTAGAAGTTTCTTGAGGGGAGTCACATCATCTTTTGGAGATTTCGTGAATTCGTGCTCGCGCCTTATCATCTGAGCGATCTTCCAATCTATCAGAGATCTTTTTCTTCTTCATATTTTTTCGTTAAGGGTGGGGCCTTATTTCCCGTCAATGACACCCTATAAGATGATGTTTCTTTCAAAAAAGTTCAACTGTGAAACGTCACACTAGGTAACCGTCAAAGCCGTGATTCACGGAAGAGAACGGGCCGATTTTCGACACTGGGTACGTATCTGATAATTGATTTGAGATTTTGATACTAACTTATAGTTTTGTTCCTCTAATCAGATGAGTCTGCCAGACAGAAACAAGAGCTAAAGTGTGCCAAAATATGAGAAAAAATGAAATGTTGGCTCCGTTAAAAAGCTCTTAGCTTCGTAAATTCGAATTGGTTCGTGACCGTGATCTTTCATACCTAATTACTAATGAAGCCAACATTTTGTCTGTTATAGAATTGAAATAAAACAAGTGCATAGAAAACAATATATTCTTCATATTGTGTTACATAAAGATGTCTTTATGGGGGGGTATACAACATAATCATCAGAACTCACAGTCCAAAGAGTACTTCAAATTGTAAGAGTCATCAAGAACACCCCAGTGTTTTTCAACGTCGCTTATTCCCGAGGTGTCGGGTTTCCAGGCTTCATCGTGAGCCTCGAAAACGCACGTATTGATACCCCAGGCCCTGATAGCGCAAATAGCTTGTTGCCAATACTTTTTTGCGTTACTGAGAGAAGGAGAAGCACTTTCGAAGGAAGAACCATCGGTAGGCCAACCTGTTTCGCCCACCCAAAATTCAATGTCAGTCAGCCCTTTTGTGGTCTGGATGACCTGAAGGGCTTGCATGATGTCATCAAAAAAGGAATAAGAGGCATTTTTCATGGTTTGTCCTTGCCAATACGAAAAGGCGTTGGCAAAAACAAAGTCAGCACTTTTAATAGCTGCCTCCGACGCATAATCAACTAAGACGTTCCAAGAGTCTGTGGTACCAACGGGAACAGACTCATATGATTGGCCATTCTTGTCTTTGATTGTTTTCAACAATTCTTTTATGGAGTCAATAGCATCTGCCAACTCGGAGGCATTCATATCTTCCCTGTAAAGAGCTTCAGATCCAACACTGAACACCTTCACAGTAGACTTAGATATAGTAGGCAAGAAGCTTTGCAAAGCCGACTTCTCATCGGCAAAGTGGCCTTCATCTGTTGGCCAGATTCCAAAAATCACTTGGAAGCCAGCCAGTTCTGCTGCTGGACCCAAAATCTCCAATGTATTGCAGTCAGAAACGGCGTATGTCTTCACGATTGACGTATAAGATTTTAAACTATCAAAGTCTTTCGCATAATCCTCAGCAGTTTTGCAGCTACCATCGTTACTCTTTACACCTAAGTTAAAGCCAAGCTATAAGAGTTAGTAAAAACGTGTCATCATTTTTCAAACAGGGTCTGTTTGAGAAAAAAGAGATAGAGGCCAGCATTTGGGAGCCCCTTGGAACAAACCCCTTTTGATTTCAACGGAATAACATACATCTCCCAAGGCTTTGACACCAGAAATAGCTGCTGCTACAGCGCACAAGAATGAAAACTGCATTTTTATTGTAATGAGAGAGGGAAAAATTTGGAACTTGGGCGGGGGCGGGAAAGAGCGAGGCTTTTGTGCTGAGTTGGAGTTCTATTTCTGGAATAGTTCCCATAGTGTGCAGTAGTACATACACTCAAACGTTTCTCAGGACAACTCTTTCGTCTTCACTTTTTTATAAATTATTACACTTTCAGCTTACTGGAATAAGTTAGTAAAAGCTAATGCCTCAGCTTCTTCGAAACCGAATTGCAAAATATGATAAAAAAACTTCTCGACAACTGACATGGTGAATAACATAAACAAATAAATAGTCTATATACAAGACCGCGTGTTTGTTTTTATCAACCAGAAAAGACTAAATACTCATGCGTATACAGCAAAGGAGATCATTTGACTATTGAGATTTTGTCACTTCCAAAGTGTCACTCGCGCTTCGAAGCCGAAAAATGATTTTCTTCACCTCTTTTCTCAACTGGTTACAACAGATATTGAATAAAACAGTAGGAATTGTATGCAAAGCCTAGAATCATGTGTCATAAATGCGTTACAACTTTGCCAAACTAACAAAAGCAGCGTCTTCGATGCGAAGACCTGGCGGTACAATCATTTGCCCGTCAAACATCTCGGCTATAGAATCAATTTCATCAATGGATTCTTGGTTGAAAACATATTCCAAATCGTTTAGACTTCCAATTACCAACAATATCTGCCCTTGCCAATCATTCTTTTTTTCTGGAATGTGTACTTCAGAGATATCGCCAAAGAAATTATCGGCATTCACAAAAATTGACTCTGTGTATCCATCAGCATGACTCAGCTCGGTGAACACAGAGGTTACTGTTTTCGCCAATCTAACGTGATAGCCGTAAGATGCCTTACATGCTGTCATTGCGTAGGCGGATTCGGGACTGACCACACGCTTATTTTTCAAGTCAACGGTGACTCTTACATTTGTTGGTACCTCTGGACCAGATAGTTCGAAGAGCTTCGAGTCGCCAATATTCACGTATTTGGTAACCCTCAACTTCTTTACTGCGCTGCTCTTCTTACTCTTCTTCCTGATCTTAGGTGCTTGTTTGGCAACAGTAAAGCCCTCTTTGAAAGCCTTTCTAACACCTTCATTTTTCATGAATGGTAAAGCAGTAAGCGTAGGAAGCTTTTCCGCGTATTTAAACTTCTTCACATGGGGGCTGTTTCGAAAAACAGACTTCACAAGGTACTTAGGCGTCACGAAGTATTGTAAGAGACTTGCGAGTAAGAGGGCATTGTTTTCGTTGTTTTTATCAGTAGTGTCATTGCCGCCTTCATTTGTTTGTTCTTGAAAATCAGATTGCGTTTTCTCCTCTGCGACGCTGTTGAACTTGATCTTCTTATTTCCGTTGTCACCGGGCAAGCTAATCTGAGATTCTTTGGCATCGCTTGCTTTATCTTGCCTATCTCTTTTGCTTGGGATTTCAAGCGTAACTATTTCAACAACATTGTAGATCGTCGCAGCTTTTGCTATTTGATAGGCGACGTGTGTTATGTGCTCCAAGTTCGAAGCATTGGACTGCGAGATTACTGAAGATGGTATGCACAATGAAATTTTGACGTCATTTGATGGATTCGTTGACTCCTCGCCTGAATTTGTGGGCAAATTAGATACCATTTTGCTTGTTGGAGTAGTGGGATATATTTTTCTCTCGCTTAACCCCATCGCGCCCTCTGTGCGGATGAGATGAAATTCGTGCCAACTGTGGCATTCTACTTTTTTTAATCTTTTCCTTTAAAGTCTCTTTTTTATTGGCAATCAAAATTGCATTTTTTTTCTATCGGATTTGGGTATATAATTCACATATAGGTTTATATAGATGAGTGACCATATACTGACATCTTGCTGGTAGACATAGAATTATGCATCTTCATTTTCTTGCTCTGTCTCATCATCAGAAGACACCACCTCTAATTTCTCGATTTCTTTCCTGGCTTTTTCTATGTTGAGCTTTGTCTGTTCCTCTTGTTTATCCCTCAAAGCCGACATGGTTTCTTTCAAAATAATGATTGTTGAAGGGACTTCATCTGTGGTTGTTGGCAAAGGGATCGACAAATTGGTCAAAGAAAGAATCACATCGGAGTCAACTGTGAAATTTCTTTTCTTCTGTGTCTTCTTCTTGGTCTTCTTGGACTTAGATCCCTCAAAAAAGACTTGTTGCTCTTTTTTCAAAACAATTACATCAGAGGGCATTTCAACCGATCTGATGTTGTTTCTAGACTCCAAAGTAGGTTTGGTAGCTTCTGCAACTGCGTTGCTTTGTGGCTTGACATAACTTGGATCAAAGTATGATAATAAAGACTCAATCTCGTTGATCTCCTTTGAGAAAGCTGGAACGGAAGCCTCCGCCAATCTAGATTCCGCTCTCTCCTTCAACTTGGCTTTCTTTTCTGCCTCACGCTCAGACTTTGTTTCCTCGTCTCTCTTCTTTTGTTCTGCGGCTAAGTTGGCCTTGAACTTCGCAAACTCGGCGTCAAAATCTGCTTTCAATGTCCTAATCTCGTTGTACTTCTCGTCTTTCGATTTGGAGTTAGCGTTTCTCTTCGCAATCAACTCACTTCTCTTGTTGTACAATGACTTGTTAGAATCGTAAATAACATCTAATTCTTTTTGAGTCTCCTCAAATTGTTTTTGCACTTCTTTATTGCCAACAGAGGCCAATTTCTGCTTCAATTCAGCAATCTTTCCTTTATCATTGTCAATCGCGACCTGTTGCTTCTCTACTTCAGTAAAGTCTTTACGCAACTTACGTAAAGAGCTCATCTCCTTGATATACTTTCTCTCCTCAGCCAAAATTAAAGAGCCGCTCCCCACCAAGTCGTCTAAAGACTTGATCCTAGCATCGATCTCAGAAGTTGACTTGAAATTGTTTTTCGCAGTCAACTTTTGAATTTCAGCAATTTTTCTCTTCAAGTTTACGTCAACATTCTTGATCTGCTCTTGTATGGTATTTCTTTCCTGCTTTAATTTGCCTTGCTTTGCAATAATGTCCTTCAAGTTAGCTTGCAAGGTTTTTTTTTTCTCTGCAACTCCAGAATCGAGGACAGCCTTTTCAATTTGAGCATTGATCTCTACGTTATTCTGATCCAAAGTTTTAATCTCTGTTCTTAAGACGTCAATGCGCTCTTTCAAGGCCTTGTCATCTGGACGCTTGATGAAGCGTCTTGGTTTTTGCGTGGTAGACATGACTTCTATGTTTTTTTCGATGTCCCGATAACCCGGGAAAAAAATTCGCTAGTTAATTTTGAACGCCTCGCCTCGTCCATAAATGTGTCGTGTGCTAACCAATATCTCGAATTCCAATTGCCGAATACATGTTATTGTCGCATTTAATGAGAAATGAAACGTGTCAAATTCGACAGAATATCCCGAGAATGAAACTCAAACTTCAACACAGTTGAACATCTTCAAAATTTTTGAGCGCTCTCAACCGCTACTTCCTTTTCTCTATTCTGCGAGTGAAACTTGAAGTCAGACCCAAGAGTCCTCATGCATCCAAATAACTCTAGATTCAACCTGAATACTATCAATCCCATTCAGTATTCGCTTCGGTTGAGGCTTTGAGTTTCGTTATTTAATTACTAAATATGAACGTTTTCAGATATGCTTCCAAACTCTGTTTCGTTCTTGCTCAGGCAATAATTCTCAACTCCAAAAGATTCATCAGAATCTCCATTATTCTGAACATGAGATACAAAAGGTTAGCTTTGGGGCTCCGTTCTTCCGAATTTTGAGCTTAACTTAAACGCTTCGGTTTCACATAGATTTCTGTCGGCTTTTCTTCTTTTTTTGAATTATCTATTGCTGTGTGAAGACCGCAAATGTATCATTACTCTCAATTAATTGAATTTATCAATGCAGAACCAATCAATTCATCAGCAGTCCCTGTTACCATCCCAGGCTGTATGATTTGATCTCCCTATGCTGTAAGAAAATTAATTATTACCTGTGGAAAAAAACCGCAGCTGTAATTCTCACCTGTTCAAATACTCACCTTTTTTTACCCTTGAAACCATAGAATTAAACTCTTGAGTGTAAATAAATGATAATAATTGTGTTGTGTTACACCAAAAGATCCGTGATCTGTAACTTTTGATACTTCTTGCGCTACATTACACTCCGGTGCATTCAAGACTATATTGAATGTATTCGTTTGCATGCTGTCTATAATTCTTCAGCGCTTTACTTGTAACTTTTTCCTTACTTTATTCGCTGTACCCATTGTCATTTGTTCCAATATGACGTGCATATAGCCTTCATAAATATATATATATATATGTATATATATATCCGTCCTGACCACATCTTAGCCTAGGGCACATGTCTTTGATACTTTCTTAAAGAAGGGCGAATGAATTGCAAACACTTTCATTATTCTCCACTGACACACGCTGCAATTATGGAAACGTGAAGCTTGTAACCGGTATTCTGTTTTTGATGTCCTAGAAAAGAATACTCGCACTATCGCGCAAATCAATTTGGTACTATAAAAATGAAGGCGAACACTGCAAACGCCATTCATTACGATGTGCTGCGTTGTTTTAATACGAATTATCCTGGACCTGTAGAGATTTTGAGTCTTTCTGGTCTCAACGGCCGCTCAAGTTGTTATCAAGGTAAGGATGTTACTAATTCACAGTTTTTTATACACTTTACTGACTTTCCGCAAATTTGTAAAAATGAAACAACCAAGAAGAGGACCAAGTGGGGTTTGAAAGGTCAGCTTGTAATGATAGACACTAAGAGCACTAATGCAACCACATTGATTTTGGATACAACTGCAAACAACTTCCTTTCGAAAGGAAATAGAAGAGGAATATAATTGTCTTCCGCCTCAGAGAGATAAATGGGAGCAAACACACGTATACATATCCTGCGAACACCTTCCAGGTTTACCATTGATACGTATCGAAGTACATATATTTGATTGTACAAATGATAATTTAAACTAACAGCAGACCTAAATAGTTTTAAAGTTACAACTTGCAGGTCACTTAAAATAATTTCATAAGAATATCCATTCTGTTCTGATTACTTCGACATGATCAGCGATTTAGAATGCAGCGCTTTGTGCATCACGTGTCCAAAATTAAGAAGTAAACGCGCGAAAGTATGCAGCCAAGTGCTCGCGATGTACGGCATGTGAGTTGGGAAAAGAAAACCACGAACAGAAAAAAAAAACAAGAAAGTCCTAGTCGTCAGGAAATCATGTCTAGCTACCAAGAACTTGTGAAGTGCCTCACTCGGCTGAATATATTGGATAAATGGACTGATGTGACACCAGTAGAGAATATCTCTGGGGTTCCAATTGACGCGGGAAGCACCTCTGCACATGAGAATGTATTTGAAGGACACGACGAGGAGCAGATCAGACTCATGGAAGAGTTATGTATCGTGTTAGACTATGAAGATCACCCAATTGGAGCAGGAACGAAAAAGTTGTGTCATTTGATGAGCAACATAAATAGAGGTTTGTTGCACAGGGCGTTTTCTGTGTTTCTTTTCAATGAGGACGGAAAACTTATGCTACAACAAAGAGCTGACGAAAAAATCACGTTTCCAAACATGTGGACAAACACATGTTGCTCGCATCCCCTTTGCGTGCCATCAGAACTAGGCATAAAAGACAACAAGTCTAACAAGAACGAATTAGAGACCGCTGTCGCGGGTGTCAAGCTAGCAGCACAGAGAAAACTATATCACGAGCTTGGTATATCCGAGCAAGACTGTCCTGTGTCTTCTTTTCAATTTTTAACCAGAATACATTATAAGTCAGCTAGTGGCGACGAAGCATCCGAATGGGGCGAGCATGAAATTGACTACATATTGATTTTGAGAGCTAAAAACAACATCAAGGTTGAGCCTAGCTTAAATGAAGTCAAAGACTTCATGTATGTCAGTGTGGATGAATTAAAAGTCATGTTTGAGGACAAAAACCTCCAGTTCACCCCATGGTTTAAGTTAATTTGCGAGACTTTCTTATTCCAGTGGTGGGCTGATTTGAAGAATATAGAACAATTTGAGGACAAGAAGATCCACCGGCTCCTTTAAAAATACGACTATTTATTGAAATCAGTTAATCTATAGGCTGAACGCTAAAAGCCAATACTCTATCTTATCCACGTAAGCAACTTGTTATCCTAGGCAAGATGAAAGAGTCAAAGTCTTTCTACCGCAGTCAGATGATTATATGAAGGATTAAAACAAATCATTCAAGAATCAGAAATATCATGCAACTTTTTTAAAACTCTGTAAAGAATGAAAATAGGTAAACACACCTGTACTACGTCATTGAGCTTGTTTAGGTCATTAGCCACTTCTGGTGCATCTGCAACAGCTAGAAGAAAAAAAACCATTTTCACAGATGAATTAAATAAAGGACCATCTTTCGATGACTTTGTTAGTGGGAAGGCTTCTCAAATGACTTTAGATCCTTTGGAACTCGCTCGTGAAGATCCACTGCAAAGACTTCCAAAGTGGTTAAAAGTCCCAATACCAAAAGGGCAGTCTTTCAATAATGTGAAAAAAGATGTGCGGGAGCTTAAACTTGCAACTGTTTGCGAAGAAGCAAAGTGTCCAAACATCGGGGAATGCTGGGGAGGCAAAAAATCAGAGGCTACAGCGACTATCATGTTGCTAGGTGATACTTGCACTAGAGGATGCCGCTTTTGCTCTGTGAAAACAAACAGGTCACCAGCAAAACCAGACCCCATGGAACCAGAGAACACCGCGGAAGCTATCCTGAGATGGGGGTTGGGTTATGTTGTCTTGACTACAGTGGATAGAGATGACCTAGTTGATGGTGGCGCTCATCATCTAGCAGAAACGGTCAAGCGTATAAAGACAAAAGCTCCACATATTCTAGTCGAAGTACTTGGTGGTGATTTCAGAGGTGATTTGAAGAGCTGTGAGATTTTAGCTTCATCTGGATTGGATGTATATGCTCATAACTTGGAGACCGTCGAGGAATTAACTCCACACATAAGAGATAGAAGAGCTACTTATCGACAATCTCTATCGATTCTTGAAAAAGCAAAATTGACGAAGCCAGACTTAGTGACAAAGACCTCTCTAATGTTGGGGTTTGGGGAGACCGATGAACAAATTATTAAAACACTTACAGACTTGCGTGAGATCAACTGTGATGTGGTGACATTTGGTCAGTACATGAGACCCACTAAACGTCACATGAAAGTGGTGGAGTACGTAAAACCAGAGAAATTCGACTATTGGAAACTCAAAGCATTGGAGATGGGTTTCCTCTATGTCGCAAGTGGCCCATTAGTCAGATCCTCTTACAAGGCTGGAGAAGCTTTCATTGAGAATGTGTTGAGAAAAAGACAACACAATGTTGGCGAAGCAAAGAGGCGGACGGAAATATGATTTAGTTGATTTATCTCGTATAGCACAAGTGATTGCTGGATAATGAAATTTTCCGTCAGATTCAAGTACATAGCAATTGAAACAAAAAAAAAAACTAATCCATAGACAAACTACTGAGATCGCCCAATTTTGAACGTCCTGTAAGCGGTATGAAATTCTTTGCATTGGTGGTTCGCGCCGGCTTGTATATCAAAAGGTACACTGGATCATTTCTGACCGTGATTTCCAAATACCAATCGCGCGTGCTCGACAAATAGAGACGTCTGTTTTTTGAGAGCTACGACGAACTGTTCGGACTTGGCTACCATAATGGTTGGATATACAGAGAAGCATCTCGAGGATGACAGTGAAGAATCGTTCATCTCGCAATTCGAGACAACTCTTACAATCCGACCTACGGCGGATTATTTAGAAGACCAAGATCAAGACTTATCAATCGATCATACTACTTTTATACATGCAACAAACCACGATTTTGAGGAATCTGACGATAACGTTCATGTAACCACGAATTGCATTAGAAACTTGGTTCCTGAAAAGTCAAAAAAAATTTCTAATGGGCTGGCACCATCGAAATCTGAGCTTCATTTGGGAGACACCCATCATAAAGCAAACAACTCGGAATTATCAGAAATTTTGAAGCCATCACCTCTGATTGACTTGGATTTGGTTCGATTCAGGAAAGCGTTTCATGAATTTATACTCGCTAATCCACAAATCAAAAGAGAAAGCCCAAGGTTTGAACTTGCTCTGCAAAAGACTCTTGTTCTCTTATCTCCTTATTCACCAGAGCATGCGTTTGGTCGCAAATGGGTTACCAAAGCATATCTTTCCACCATATTTGAAAGGCCACAGCGGCTACTAGCCTCTTCTTTGGGAATTGCTGCCGCACTTTCCATGTACCCATACTATTACAGTGTCCAGAATTCTACTAAAAGAGGCTCCCTCTTTTCTGATCACGTCCGAAAAATTCATGGAGAATCCTGGCCCAAAACTTTATTCGAACTATGCTTGAAGTCTCATGACAAACTCAAGGATGGTAAATATGAAGTCCCTGAGGACTGGAATACTGGCGACATTTATTTGACACCGAAAACAATAACAGCTCTTGAAGGTGTTCTTGGAACAATTGAGACAGCCATTGATTCACTATTCCAAAACGCTGACGATGAAAAGAACCATAACTTAGCTTTTGTTGCCATTAGGCCTCCGGGTCACCACTCTCACGCTTGTTTGCCTAGTGGGTTTTGCATGCTTAATAATGCACAGATAGGGATCGAGTACGCATTCGACACTCATGGGGTTACTCACTGCGCGATTTTGGATATAGATCTCCATCATGGAGATGGATCTCAGGATATTTGTTGGGAACGTGCCGGTTTTACTGGCGATCATGGAAAATCAGACGATGAATTTGATGATCATCTCGAGAATCCTAGGAATGACTACGGCAAAAAGCTCGCGAATTATCCAAAAGTTGGGTACTTTTCTCTACATGACATCAAGTCATACCCTACTGAACTAGGATTCGCGACCAAACAAAATTTGAAAAATGCATCGCTTTGTATTATGGATCACGATCTTAACTTATGGAACGTACATTTACAAGAATGGACAACCGAAGAAGAGTTTTACAAGCTTTATCAAACCAAATATGTCGCAATTCTCAACAGGGCGAATCAATTCCTCAATTATTCAAAAAAGCAATACGAGCAGCAATATGCAACATACTTGTCTGAATTGACGAAGTACAATAAGTACCTTCAAAAGCCTACCGCTTACAAACAACAAGTTCAGAAACCAAAACCGCCACCACAATATAAGCCATTGATAATCATTTCAGCGGGCTTCGATGCATCTGAGTACGAAAACCCACAAATGCAACGTCATTCAGTTAATGTACCTACATCATTTTACGCAAAATTCACCGAGGATGTCGTGAAATTAGCTGATATACACACGAAAGGTAAGGTCCTATCATTTTTGGAGGGTGGATATTCAGATGGAGCATTAGTATCTGGCATATTCTCTCACCTAATCGGATTTACCAACTTCAAGAGGGATAATTCCACAAACGAAAGTTTGTGGAATGAGACTTGGGGCTCTGAACATGTGATCAAAGAAATAGTTAGAGGTTGCAAAAAGGCATGGACTCCATACAAAAATCCCCGCACTGAGACTACAATCTGGGCTAATGAGGTGATAAAGCTTGGGCGATCAATGATGCCTAATTCAATCTTGCCTCCAGATTACATGTATGAATCAAGAAGTCAAAAAAAAACTGAGACTGATGCGGATCACTTGGAACCTACTAGAAGGAACAAGATGTTACGAGAAATAATGGATGCAGAACTTTTGCAAGAGAATTTGAGGCGCTTCTCGTCTGAAGACGAAAAAAACGTGGAGGTTCGACACACAAGGTCTTACTACCAACGAACCATGAGATAGTCTAGACCAATACATCCGTACACCCAAAACTCCTTTAGCGGCATAATAGCAGTATCAAAGAGAACCCTTGTGATTGAGTCCAGACTGTTATAAAAAGGCTTTCCCGGTCAGAAAGAGAATAAGCCCGCCCCAAAACACACTTTTCTAGTTGAGTTTGCGCAGATGAGCATTGGAGTGTCTGTTGACGCGTCTGTTAACCATTCGAGCCATGAGCCTAAATACGAAAGGAAAATTGAGACGGGTCTACCGCCTTCAGATCCATGTTTCGACAGAAGAGAATACTCAGACAATGAGTACATCAATCTACTAAAATCCGAGATATACGGGTTGAAGACTCTTATTGATGAGAAAAACAAAATAATACGGCAATTTGAGCAGTCCAAATCAGACACTGACTACATCTCCGCTGTGGGTGATGAGAATGCGCAGGTCGTTGACTCATCTGAACTTGATATAAACGATATTCCCCAACGGTCTTTGAGACGCAATAGGGATATACCTAGAAGTTCCGTGCCCGCAAAATTTTTGCCCCATGACACAGTTGAACTGGAGAGCACATCAATGAATGATGTGAACAGATATAGCATTGCGTCAATTACCTCCAATGGACCACTTGACATCAATCGAGGAGTAATTCTCTCACCTGTCTTAAAGCATGTACTCAACACTGCATCTCTGTCTGTAACTTTAGACGATAAATTGGAAGACACTGAGATCAAATCATTTGAGACAAAGCTGCATAAAATGTGGGATGCAGGTGATCTTTCTTCAAGCCTAGATCGGTCAGTTGCTTACGAAGTATCCTCACTGCCTAGTCTTAATTCTCACTCCAAAAACACAAATCAAGCAATGTACGACGGCATGGGTCAAAATGATTCACCATCCATAAATTCCTTCAAATCAAGAGCAAGATCGCATCGATCGTGTGAGAAATCCGATACCCCTAAGTCAAAAGAAGAGCTTCACGAAACTGAACAAAGTAGAAGCTTGCGTCCTTTATATCCACAGCTAGATTGCCCCGAATTTCAATTGCAGATACCAAGCAGTGTGAGTATTCAAGAATGCGAAGAAGTAAAAGGAGGTTCTTTTGATCTGCATTCAGCTCGAAATGTTGTGATTCAAGATATATCTGGGAAAGACATATCGAGTAGAAATCTTTCTCCGCTCAGTGCATCAAACTCTCCTACACTAGCTGAAAAGAAACAACTTGCGGATAGAATTTGCCCTGATCAAATCGAAAATTCAACAATACGGTCTTGTAACTCCACAGAATTTGAATTAGGGAATCGAAATTTTTCTGAAGAGACCCCCAGCTCCACCTTTACAGTCCAACCCTCTCCTATTATTGAAGAAGATGACACATCACTTTTCATTAAGCCCAAGGATTTTTCTACAATAAGAATTAAGGTGGCTAGTACAATTACTATCAATGCTAAAAAAATGGATGACTACAATTGCACCTTTTCCATCAAGGACAGAGAATCGAGCAAAGAGATGTGGAGAATTCGTAAAACTTACGCTCAAATACTTTCTTTTGATGCAGAAATAAGGCCTTTCATCGAATTTTTTGGACTACCTCCTATTCCAGAAAAGCCTTTGTTCAGCTCAGCAACACCAGCAAAAGTGGATTCGAGAGGTCAAGCATTACAAATGTATTTTGATAGTATTTTTCTGATGCCACATATACCTCAAATGGTCTTACTCAAAATATGTCGCTACATTTCCGTTGATTTTGTCAACCCTCTTGATGACTATCGGTCGGGTGCCAGAAAAGAAGGTTTCTTGATCCGAAGGTATAAAGGATTGGGAACAAGCTGGAAAATCAGATGGTGTCAAGTGGATGGTCCAGCACTAGAGATTTACGACCAACCAGGAGGGTCTTTAATTGAACAAATTCAGCTATCTGGTTCTCAAATTGGAAGACAATCATCGGATGTTGTAGCTGAAGATCGAGGATATCGCCACGCTTTGCTTGTTATCGAAAGTTCTAAAAGTCTGAAGTTATCAGGCTTATCTCCAAAACATTTTTTTTGCGCTGAGTCGGACTTTGAACGAGATGAATGGATCAAAATTATGATTGAATTCACAGAGGTTTGTGTTTACACTTCGGATGAAAATTTCACAACATGGGACCAAACCGACGAGCGTACACTGCTGCTTCACATTGAGCCAGAGGAAATGTTAAGAAACAAGGCAACAATTCAACCACACAGTCTAGCTGAACCATTCAATGATGTGGGTGCTCCTACGGATGATAATGGATGCATGCCACTCGACGAAGGTAGTCTCAAACAAAACCGAAAAACCAAAATTAGGCATTTATTTCCTTTTAGAAGCAAGCAGAATCTAACGGAAGACCTCCTGCCGATACTTCCTGTCACACTTTCTGATAATCAGCCTGGCGTGCAGAAAAATATGCAGAATTACCTTGAAAGACTTGATCTTTCAGAAGAGCTGTCAAAAGCGGTTTTTGGAAGGGACCTCGATTACGCCTTCACTTTGTCCACTCATGAATTTAGGGGTGTCATGGTACCCAGCATATGTTTCAGATGCTTAGATTTCCTAACGAGAACTGGGGCAATTTACGAAGAAGGGATCTTCAGAATGAGCGGCTCTGCTGCCGCCATCAGATCGTTAAAAGAAATTTTTAACACACGTTTTGATGTCGATTTATTCGACACGCCACTTAAGCCTGATATACACACAGTATCTGGGCTTCTCAAAACATATTTGAGAGAACTACCAGGGTCACTTTTTGGAGATGCCACTTATTGCGACTTGCAAAATATCGTAACGACGCGTATCAATCAGATTCCTCAATCAGAAATCAGCTTGATGATTAGAAACTTTCTACGAGATTCGAGTAACATTGACGAGATTCACTATAATTTCTGCTTGGTTATTTTTGGGTTTTTGCGCTCGGTCATTGCCAACAGCTCTAGAAACAAAATGTCATTGAAAAATGTCTGCATTGTTTTTGTCCCAACGCTCAACATCTCGGTTGATATTTTGAGCATATGTTTGGTAGATTATGATTTTATTTTCGGAGATCTGGCTCCGGTTCCTGATACAGAGCGTGAGATTCTCGATTTACAGATTCCCACATTTTAAATTCCAGAGTTGCGCTCAGACCAGCCAATATCAAGCACACAGAACGCTGCACTCATAATTTTATATTTTACCACTCGCTTTCGCCTGCAGCTCTTTGAAACACGTAATCCCTTCCATCTATGTTTGCGACCCCCTCTTTAAGGTTGCATTTCCATTTGTTTTTCACTCTTTGGACTTTATCATATAAGCATAACATGATTTGGCCCTCTTGGTCTCCGTCCTCCTCATCCGACTTTTCAGAGTCTAAGTCGTCATCAAGATCCGAGTTAATGTCATCTGAATCATTAAAAACATCATCGTCATCGTCGTCATCGAGAGAGCCTGGCCCATCTGCTTGAGCTTTCATATTTTCACGCAATCTTGACAAATAAGACTGTGCACGGTTCTGTGGGAGACTGATGGTCATTTCAAAGGGCCCATCAGATTGATTCGCGGGAAGAACCAATCCACCTTCATCAATTTCTTGCTTGACGGATGGAAGCTCAATACCCATACTATAGGAACCATTCGTCAAATCCAGACTTGGTATCGATGTAGATGGTTGAAAGTTTGGGATAATAGGCAAGTCTAAGTTTGCATTTAGTTGTAGTGGTTCTGACTTCATAGTTGATTCATCAATCACGCCTTCTTGAATGTGATGTCTCTCATCATTCTCGTCATCCCAGCTGAAACGACACACTTTAAACTGACTAAGCTTATCACACCAAAGTTTTTTTAACTCTTGCAAAGTTGACTCATCGATGCCACTGTCCTCAAAATCTTGCCTTGAGTCTGCAATTACCTCCTCAACCACGGCCTCGTATAGTTTCCCTGCTTCGAAATTTGACATCTAAATGATTACTATCGTCTGAATCTTATGGCACAGGCTTATGATGAATCAAGTGTTTTGATGAATCTTGGATTAGACAATATGATATCTTGTCTGGTTTTGGTTCTGGGTATTCCGGAAGCACCATAAAAGGCCCTGTGGTGAGGTATTTTTTGGTCGCACCTTCCACGTAAATTCGCAGTATACAATACTAAATGCAAGTACTTGCCCCCGCTGCCATTTACGCGTTCTCTTTCACTTTTTCGAGAACACTCAAAAGATAATCTTTTTCTTTAACTTCGATTTGCAATTGACTTTCCAAATTTTCAATTCGCTTCTCAGACTCCTCGGAGACTTCTTTCATCTCTTTGATCTTAAATTCGTAATTTTTGCGCAATTGGCCAACTTTAACTTCATGTTTTTTCGAGTATTGGTGGTATAATTGTTCTGCGATTTCTTGAATCCTTTCATCGCTCTTTTGTTGAGCAGCAAAAATTTGAGCTTTCAAGGTTTCAACTTCGTGGATCAATTCAGCCTCGGAGTGCTCATGGCCCGTATTCGTCCGAAGAACTTCGGCTTTCAAATCCGAAATCATTTTCTTCTGCGCATTGACTTGTGCATTAAGCTCGGCCAATTTCTGAGTATCACCACTTATGATTGAGTCCTTCTCCTTGGATTGTGATTTGAGATCATGAAGTTGTGCATTGGCTTCCATTAAAATCGAATCAAGTCTCTTGGATTCGTTCTCGAATTTTAAGGCACTACTCTTGTTGCTCTCAGCTTCTTCTTGGTGACAGAGACATTTATGCTCAAGTTCTCCTCGCAAAAGCTCAAGCGCGTCTATAGCTTGGTTTTTCTCTGTGATCTCATATTTCAAAGCATTGTGTTCCCTTTCAATCAATTCCATTTCATGATGTAAATGTCGGGTATCCTCCATTAGTTTGCTGAACTTTTGATCAAGAGTTCGATTCAATGAATCTTTTTCTTCAATTTCTGTCTTCAACGCACAGATTTCGTCGTCCTTAGCTTCATTTTGACTGATAAGTGAACTTTTCAAATTTTTTAGGACATCTATTTCTTGTGACGCATGCTCAAATTTCACTTTGAAGGTATGCAACTCGTCATTCGATCTTTGCGTTAACAGTTTCAAATTCGCAGTCTCTTGCTCGAATTTCAAAACATACATATGTTTTTCTGCAAGATTTTCCTTCGCTTCATTCAATGCTTCTTTTAGTTGATCGACTGTGGCTGAAATATCTGCATTATCTTTCTTTAGCTCTGTGATTTGGGCACTCATGTCTCTCATGTGATAGAGGAGCAGAGAGTCTTCGGAGGACAATATATTTGACATCAGTCTTAAAGAATTTCGAAAGTTGGAAAATTTTGCTAAAACAAATTGAGAATCTTCTTCTATCCCTTTAACTCTATCCAAAAGCTCAGAGACAATAACGTCCCCTGGAAGATTCTTCTCTTCTATGGTCTTGTCAACGTCTGAATGCATACTCTCTGGAGCGGAGTCCAAGTGATCAACACTAGAAGAATATACATCAACTGACGCATATTTCGTATCATAGCCGGCTTTTGCATGACAGTCTTCGTTAAGCAGATTGCCCATATGATTGGTTTGTATTCTTGGAGTTTTGGTACGGTGAACATGTGAACTCGCGCCAAAATTATCCAGCTTCTCCAAAATCCCATAATTGTTAGCGACTAGTAACGTTTTTAAGTCATTTGGTGGGCGTACAGACATCTCCATATTTCTCTCGATAGGAGAATCGGTGATGCACCTTGGACTTGGGGGAATATCTTGGCTGCTCAAATGAACTATGTTCTCGGGGGTGTCTACACACGAATGTGCTGGGATTTGTTCAGGTGCTTCTTTCGAGATATCGTGACTGATTTCTTCACTTTGACGAGCTTCAAGTCTCTGCATCAATTCGTATGGACTTTTCTCTGCGTCCAAAATGTGCATTGTCGAATTACTTCTGGGCCGCGGGGAAGACCAAGAAGTTCTTGAAAGGTACCGTGCTGAGCTTTCTGGACATCCTCGTACGGGGACCGACAATCTGCGATGTTTCCTTGCATAATTGAAACCAGACAAGCTATCGATTCGGTCCAAAACAGGCAGAACTTTTGAATTCCCGTAATCACGCGCTTCACTCAATACACCATCTGAATATGGTAGGAAAAGTTTCCTTTTTCCCTCTTGAACAGGTGATGACAATTCAAGACCATTCGTCATTTTCTATATTGGTTGGAACCAGGGTATGGATGTAAAAAAGATGTCGTCTAAACTGTACGCATTGACGCGTCTCATATTCAGGATGCATGGCTGCACTTCTACGCAACATTCTCAGTAGCAAAAAAAAAAAATAAAAAGGTTAAGGTATAAAATTCTAAATAGTATCCCTAAAAGCTTTCTTACTAGTACCACAATCATTCAATGTTATACATGCGATAGTGGTAAGTAGCGCGATTAAACGTGATACAAGAATGCCCTTCTCGACTTCCCTGACGATACAACTGTCTGGTTGTTGAAGCTAGAATAAACAGGAGCCATTGAAGGAGACGAATACGTCAAAGACAGTGTTACTGCTGACGATGAAGTCACTGTTGGCATTGAAGAGGATATGTCAGGAGTTGAAGAAGTTCCCGTGGTTGTCGAATAAAACACAATCGGAGAATATGTTGTCTCAGTGAGCGTTACCTCTACATACGAGGTGATTGTTGTAGTCAAGCCACTGAATGTAAAGTCCGCATAAACTGGAATAGCTGTCACAGAAATCAGGGTAATCGCAGAGTACTGGTCTTCAACATCATTTACCGAGTTTGTGGCAGTCACGGTCACGGTCGAAGGAACACAAACACATGCCTCGGCCGTCTCAATTAGCCCTGATTCTATGGCCTCAGTCGAGACAGTCCCATCACTTTCGGTAATAGTCACATAACTTGTTAAAGTTGATGTAGTGGTAGACTCAGGCATCGTGGTAGTGAATGTTGTCACTGGCGTCACGACTGCAGAGCCTTTAGTTGAAATCGTCACATACTCAGTAACAACCGAAATAATGTTCTGCGTGTTAGCTGCAAGGTCAGACAGAGACCGTGCACTCACTGAAGATCCAGACAAGGTGGTCGTGATATACTTGTCGACAGTGATTGTAGTATCTGGCAAAGAAAAAGCAGTTGTGGCGCTGATCGTCTCGTTGTCGTATCTCTTGAAAGGGATAGCACTGACAACTGATGCAAGAACAGTGAGGGCAGCAAAGGGTAAAATCATTGTGGATAAATGAGTGGACGCGACTATTGAACGCAATAAAGAGTAATGAAACTACCCTTTCATCTTCTATGCAACGAGAATTGATGCCCTTTTAAAGAGGGACACGAAAAAGCGTGTTTCATCGCGGACCGCATCATTCAAAACACAACTGTGCGAAGCCACAAACAAACAAACCCCTGTTTCACTAGTGATCTCAGTCTGCAATCTTTCATTTCTACAGGACTCTCTATCCAGCATAAAGCTCACTTAGTCTTGAATTCAAGATTCGAATTTCCAACGATCTATGAAAGGATACATACAATTTCTTTTACTGAATTATAAACAGATCATGATAACTTTTAAAACAATCAAATCATCAAAACAAATTTCGTTAAGCCCCGCAAAACAAATTTTGTCAAGCGCGTTTCCTGCGGTTGAAGTATCTGCACACCATCAAGGATGCTCACTCAAAACTCGAAGACACTCTCAAGTGTTCCCAGACATACGATGTTCGACTTTACAAACAACCCAATCATTACCAATTTCCTGAGATTGCGCTTGACATGCCAGAAGCTCGTTGATCAGAGCGTTCCATATACAGCTCGTCGGTGGACAGCATTTACTTTCCTCCTTCTTGTGTTCGTTGGTCGAATCTTGTTCGCCCAGGGATGGTACATCATTTGCTACACATTGGCAATTTATCTCCTCAACTTATTCCTCCAGTTCTTGACTCCAAAATTTGACCCTTCATTAGAACAGGAACTGAAGTCATCCACACTCGAGGAAGGAGGCGACGACAAAGTTGATTTAGACGAGGAATTCCGTCCATTTATACGGAGATTGCCCGAGTTCAAATTATGGCTCCACGGGACAACAGCCACGGCCATCCTGCTAATAGTATCCTTCATTCCAATATTTGACATTCCCGTCTTTTGGCCTATTCTTCTAATGTACTTTATTGTGTTGTTTACGCTAACTATGAGAAAACAAATTCAACATATGATGAAATACAAATATCTACCATTTGATATTGGAAAAACTAAATATGGCCACTAGAAAGTGAAATTTAATACCAAGCAACCCAACAAAGTGAACATTGTAGAACCTTAACACGTACGCCACCACAAATACTTACGCGGGCAACGAATTTCCGACGTAGAAACGTACCCTCTACCTATACAACCAGCTCATTCCTGATAATACATCGCAAAATATACCCCGCAACTAATAAACCCAGTAAACACTAACATAACCAGCTGATCTCGGAGAAACTTCAAGCTCATGTTGCTAGATTCCAAACGCGTCCAAATCAATAAATATTCCATCAGTACGAATTCGTCATTAACATCCACCACACCTATTCGGCGATATAGAAATCTAGAACATCAAAAATGAAGCCAAATTCAACTTACAACTAATCCATTTATTTTTCTTCAACAATGCTTCATGTCACACACAACAGCACTTATATGAAATTCTACTGATGATTGCATCAGAATCCCAGCTGCACAGAATCGCCCCAGAGACATCACAGAAATCGGCGCAGGAGATGCAAATCTAAAATCAAGACGCCATAACACGAAACATAGTGCCCATCATAAAACTGAAGACTCATAAGACTGATTCGGTACATGAGTGAGTGATACCTCCATGACATCACCAAATACGATATTGGCTGCAGAAATTGACGCCTCGATCACAATAGATAAAAATCATTTCACATAGTATTCTCATAAACACAGCTCCTCCCACTTCCTTATTCTCCTTCTAACCCCTAATAAACGAACTTCAACCCAATCACATGGTGCAATACCAGAAAAACAGACTTAAATTTGCGTGGTCATCAAAACCACCACCACCCAAATCGATAAACAAATTTTGAATTTTGGATGATTAACTACACATAACTAAGGCGTCAATTTTTCCGCAATTTGTATCGCAAAATGCACCCCACATAATCATCTAGCATTTTTTTTCTGTTAGATTTATCTGATTAAAGGGGCAAAACTATATAACGAATATATATAAAAAACATTTAAACAGCTCCCAGCTACGTATCAAGTGTCTTAGCCCTGCCCGTCCCCTCCCGTTTGTCACGTCCTGGACAGTCCTCATGACATATATCTGTTAACGTATTGGATATCACGTCATCGACTCTTAGAATAGGACCACTGTCGTAATCCCTTCAACTCAGATCGTTGCAGCCGACTTGAGGGCCCACTTCCTGCGACTGGCCACGCCTTCTGGTGTACACCTTGAAGATCGTAGTGCCGAACCAAATTAATTTTGTGAAGTTCTACAAAGTTTTGTTGGATGGGACCAACATTGAGTTTAAGCTCATGGACTTGGAATTTTCTAGCTCTTGCCAAAACAATTTGCATGTCAATTGCTATCAATATCGCTTAGGAAATCGCCCGTGGCGTCCCCTTTGTTTTGGATTTGTTCTATGCAAATATGGCATTGGAAATCAGCTGTGTCTCTCGGAAGACATTGCTACAAAGGAAACAATTCAACCTCATTACAGCATTAGCCTAAAACAAAGGAAAGCGCAGGAAGGTCCAACCAAAACAATCCAAGATCACTGTGAACCAAAATACATAAAGTGGAGTAAAACCACAATCAAGTCAACGACAGACTCTAACATATGTCACACCCTCCCCTATATGAATACTTGAACAGCAAAATACAGAATGCAAAACGCAATGTAGGCATTCCAGCTGCAGATGAAGAATGGCATCGTGACGGGCGGAAAAATGAATAATCTTCGGCATCAGTTAATTCCAGAAGGACAAAATTGAACTATCCCAATGCAAGAAGGAAACGATGGATACCATGTGACCATGTCAGACTATACAAAGACAATAATTCTATCCCGAATACAAAGCATACGCCTTAAGAAGGCCAGAAACTATCCTTAAAAGTCTTCCATATGAAGTCGAGGCCTCAACGTCCTTTCACAAAATTGATTTACCATGTCCTCATCAATATCACATCTCTCAGCTTATAAATTTAGCCCTTCATCACAAAGTAGACAACCATGCTGAAGCTCAGCAAGCCCTCTAAAACGCACCCGCATAAATTACCGAATCAACAGATACGTCTCGTGACCCAAGCGCACTATATACCTAGAGGAGAACATTGAGTACCTTAACACATCCATTTACCACCGAAAATTAAATAAACTCCAATGAAGCAATTTCGAATTCGTCGAAAACCACCAATTCAAGGGGCATTAAATCAAACGACTAGGGTATTAGGAATGCTTTGCGACATTAACCGGATGTGAGCCTTTCTGCGAGACTTCATATTTTTTACTATCACAGAAAGGGCAACAGCGTTAAGATTCAACATCCACGATACAACGATTCATTCGCAAAACACAACCAATACTGATAGAACAGGCTCATAATATACAATATTCGAATTTGATTCGCAAATTTACTTGACTCAGGATGCCCCTCGAGTCGACTAAATCAAATGCTAGGCATGGACATCTCAAAGTCCATAGACACATAAAGCAACACAGAAATAATCATTAAGGGTTTAAAGTCAAATGCGAAAAATCAAGAAGCCCACAAGCAAACACCACGACCATCGCCATTTAATCAAGCAAGATGCGACGTCAGGAATCACACAGATTGGTGCTCTTTGATTTTGCAAACCACATTTTTCGTTCCGTAACTGCTTCTAGATTATATAACTCACTTGAGCATATGCGTATCTCAAGATTCCGATCTCATGGTAAATATAAAATACATGTACATGCCAGGGAATTTAACAACCGGCGTGGCACGAGAAATCGACGACAAACGAGACCTACGCAACAGAAGATAATATGTATTCCAAGACCGAACGATTCCAGGCGCACAACTCTAATGAGTGTAACGTCAGAAGTCACCTTACACATGTTTATATTCGGAATTCTATTAGAGACAGTTGAGTGACCAATATTTCTTGTAAGCATCCCATATTTGGCTGCAAGTCGTGGAATAATATTCTTCAATTTCGAACTTTCTTGGGATACAGTGCTACATCTGCTGGCAAGGAATTGATTCGAGAAGTTTGATCCCCTGAGCGATGTGTAAGTCAAAAATACATCACAAGTCTATCTCATGATGTATGTCATTAAATCTTCTTGGGTGAAATCTGGTTCCGAAAATCATACGATACTTCCGGACATCAGATACCAAGAAAAATAGCTGGTTACGTGCTTAAGACATACCTCAATGGATATTTGAGGATACATTTTGTGGTGCTAGACTTGCCACAGGCGAATAACCTACTATAGCCTGAAGAATGGGATTTGCCATATGGGCCAATTTTAAAAACTTTTTCTCTGGTTTTCGGAGTATTGCCCTGTGTCAATTTGCTTTGATTCTATTGCACTGAAAGATTTTGTTATATTCAACAGTAATTGATGGAGGTATGGCACATTATTATCAGGAGATGTGAATGGATGGAATTAGAGCTGATCTGATGATGGCAGTTCAGGCCTTGTTCTTTTCTGGTGATTCCTTTTACTTCAATCCTCTGTCTTATTATTTGCAGATGAGCAAAACCATACAACCCATATACATCAAAACCTTTTGAGGGAACTCCTATTTACGCCCAAATTGTGGAAAAATTGCCGCTGCCTTTCTTTAGTCTAGTTTTTGAGGATCCTCTTGGCGCGCATCGTTTTACATATTGGATATGACGTCCTCGATTCCTAGGACAAGTCCCCTGTAGTAGTCGCTTCACATTGGGTGGTTGGAGCGATCCAAAGGAACTTTCTTCCTGCTACTATAGGTCTCCTATATCATTCGCTTGAGCATACCTAGAAAGAGATGGGTACGAATCAACTGAAATGTCTTGAGTCGGATGATAAGATATTAAGAAAATTTATGTAGGGCCTGATACCCTAGGTGCCGATATCTAATTTCGGATTTTTTCAAAGACCTCCTGCCAGTGTGTAACGCTTTCGTGCCTCTCGACTATCAAGACAGGTCTCGTGGAACATTGTTTTCAGCATGTGGCGTAGTTGTAACCAGGCTGTTTGCGCCTTACATCGAATTACATTCTTAAGAGTTAATTCATTTTTATATAGTACTTGAGTTGCACATTTCCGTAGTGATTGTACTTTCTTGATGTTCACGGTCAAGATCCATCTTCAAATTGGTCATCGGCATACCCATGCTTTCGAATCTCAGTTAGTCTCTTCCGAGCCGCGAGCAAAGAGTTCTCAAGCTGCAATATCTCAACCTGCTGCTGCATTTCCAATGTCTTACCCTCGTAAGGAGTCAATTTAGTGAGGTCGAGTGTATCTTCAGTGGACTTGTCTGTTCTAATCAATTTCTGAACTTCAGAAACCAAGGACTTACAAGCTGAATTTACTGTTTTGGAACTGGTCTCCAACTTGTCTTGCGTTTTAGAAACAAAGTTTGCCTTCACTCTGGATGCTGCAACGAGTTGCGCAGTTGAAGCTGCAACTTCATTACATGCAACGATTAATTGCTCATGCACATTTTCGTCTTTGAGTATGCCGTTGGCCGTTTGAATCAAAATGTTTGTTGTACCCGCAACAGCCTTGGATGCACTGATCAAACCTTCAGTCCAACGACTGTTCTTTTTGTAGAAGTCTCTTCGAGAAATTTCACCTTTGTTTCGGCGAACAATCTCAATTTGAGATTCAGTTGCTGCAGCTATCAAAACAGATACTGCTTTTGTAATTGCAAGTGCAGCCCCCAAAATAGATTCATGAACTTCGAAATCTTTTCCTTCGCCGATTTGAGACAAGAGATTGCGGAGAAAAGTTGAAGCGTTCTCCACTGCGTCAGCAGTTTCGCTGAATTTATCTTCTACGACGTCTTCAATGTTCTCTTTCTTAGTGAGATCCAGCTCATGAGTACCTCTCAAGGTATCAATGAGCGAGGACGCTGTCTGCAATAACTGTTGAAACAGTAAATTGCAGTCGATAACAAAATCAATTTTATCTTCTATCGAGATCAAGTCATTGATTGAGTCAGATGCCAAATTCAGAAAAAGTGATTCCGCACCGGACAATACGCTAGTCGTTTGATTTGCCAATTCTTCTCCTTCATCAGACGTGATGTTTTTGCTCAAACCCTTCAGATTGAGCATGAAGTCATTGAGCGCGGATGTAAGCTCAGAACTGGTGAGAATCACCTGTGCGTAAGCAGAGTCATCTGTACTTTCATCTCCATCAGCCATAAGATCATTGAAAGCTTGAGAAAAGTTTGTGGCTGTATCGGAGCAAAGATCCAAAAATGACAAGAGATATTCAGGAGTGGCAATCGAATTTCCGGCTTGCATAGGTGAAAGCAATTCGTATTTTGAATCCTGTACTCTCCGTACGCTGTTTGCAAGTATTACATCAAGTAGGTTGACAAGTTGATCAGCGTTTGTTGACAGCTTTGCGAGAGCCAATTGTCTGAGAGCACTATCCAAAGACTCCTGGGTGATCTCCAAATCAATTTCTTTTTCTTTCAAGTTCTCTTTGATCAAAGAAAGATCCCCCAAACTTGCCAACTGTTCTTCCCGATCAATCAAATCCGATCTGAGTTGTTCCACTTGCTCTTTATACAGATTGATCTTTTCAGATAGCACCAGACTATTCTTTGTACTATATTCCTGAGCTTGAGAAGTCAACTCTCTGATCTGAGTTTGGAGGTGTTCAATCTCCAGATCTTTAGACGCTTTTACTCGATCAACGTCTAACCTTGCACGATCGCGTTCCCGGATTATGTCCGCGAGCTCAAGATTTTTTGACTTCAAATCTTTTTCATACTTTTCTTTTTTCAAAATTGACTCTTGAGCACTCGAGATCTTTTGTTGTATTTTCTTGAATTTTGCCAAGAGGTTCAAATGCTCCAGGCGTAACTGGGAATAGAGCATCGCCAATGACTCGTACTTTTTAGACCAATTGCTTATTTGCTCATTTGCCATATTGAGCTGTTCATCCTTGGTGGCAATTTGCTGAGCAGCAGTTTGGTTGATGTTCAGCAACTCGGTTTCTATTGATTTCACTCTTGAATCATACTGTTGCAACAAAGCCTGATCATTGTCAAATTGCGCTTTGAACATGAGTAAGTCTTGTTCCAATTCAGATACTCTCAGTTGGTTGTTCTGCGTTTGCTGCTGTCTCAAAAACTGCTGTTCTTGGATCCTTTTTTGCTCCTGCTCTCTCATTTGCTGCTCAAACAACTGCTGTCTTCTTACTTGCTCCTCTAATTGCTGTTGGCGCTGAGCCTCTAACTCATACTGTTGTTGTTGTAACTGGCGATGTTGGTCAATTGCTTCTGTCTTTTGTGCACTCAAAAGTGAAACCAGAGAGGGAACGTCTAAATTCTCCAAGCTGCCACTAGCCTGTCCTGATTGGCTCGATTCCAAGTCATTTTGGCTTTCAACAAATGTCAGCATACGTTGAGATTCTTCATCAGATTTCATGTTTGGAACAGATGCTGCAATTCGAGGTATAGTTATCAAGCTGGTCAAGAACTTTATTGCTTGGCAGTCAGTGTAAAAGTCTCGTAACACGAAGTGTTGCGAACTAAAACGATCAAACAAAGCACTCAATGCATCATCGTCCCCTAATTGCTGAAACATGGCTCTCAACATTGATACCAAAAACTTGTAAATTCCATATGACTCTGAAATTAAGGGTACAAGTGCACTTACTTTACACAAGTTGTTCGGAGATTGGTGAACAGTAGCAAATATATGCTTTTGGAGATCATTGATCAAGTCTTGCAAATCCATCAATTGCAATATTGATTCATAACCTTCATTAGGATCATTGACTGTTCTCAAAGAAATGTACTCTTCATACTCGAAAATTCCATTGAAACCATGATTACTCCGATGAAAGTCGAGTTTCTGCAAAAGAAAGCGATCATACTGATTAATCAACAATCCATAATTTGACGTGCTGGGAAAGACTGTGGAGAGAGAATACAAAAAGTCCCTATTTCTGTAGCCGTCCTTAAGGGTGTTTGGATGCCCTTCCTGAAGCACCTTATGGATCATTATCAAGGCTTTAAATAATTGGATCTCACTGCTTTGCAAGGGTTGAATCTTCACAGCATTCCAAAAAGCACGCGAGTTTTTGTGGTCCCAAGTGTAAACAATACAGGACCTGACATGTTTTCTTTTCGGGGGAACTTCCTCATTGTTACAGGCTTTTCTTACACTAATTTGCAAGTCAACCTCTGCACGGCTCATGTCTGACGGGTTGATGGAGCAATTAACTTTCGACGAGAATCTCCCGTAGGGGTGGCCGTTGCCATTATGTAGGAATATAGCGCCTGAGATATGTGTACAGGACTTCAGTGACAGTCGATATTAAGTGAATAGGAAACGCTAAAGTTCGGTCCCTGTCTGATGAAATCAATTTGAAGAAGATTGAGGGTAAATGTAGGTAATTTCTCGGTCACTAAAGCCTAAGAAATATATTTATTCAACAGAGCAACTTTGCTTTCATTCGTAAAAAAAAAAAGTGGCTCTCTTTTTTGTATCTTTTTGGGTAACATAATTTTGATTTTAAAAATGTTAAACCTAAATGTACTTTCTCGTTTTCTTATTTGTTCATTTGTTCTGAAAACCTTGACTAAAAAAACTTATGAATGTGAAGAAGTTGAATTACTTCATAGGATTAGTTAAAAAAGTTAGTTGAAGTTGTCCGCTCAATAGTTTGAGAGTACACATTCGCGAAGACAAGAGCTAACCCATCGAACTACAAAAAAAATATCGCATACAAATGTAAACTTTACTCTTGATTTTGCTGTATATCACAGAATGTCCGCCAACAAGCAAAAAGTGAATTATCCGTATGTTATCGTCTTATCAATTCAGACAATTTGCAACATTGTGTTATTAACACTCAAGATTTTGGTATGGTGGAGCCTCAAGTATGGCAGCATGCTTAGTGACTCATCCTTTGGATTTGGCAAAAGTTCGCTTGCAGACGGCTGCAACACCCGGGCAGTCATTATTCTCCATGGTCTACCAAATTGTGAGGAATGAGGGCATATTTAAAATTTATTCCGGATTGACTGCTTCTTTGCTCAGACAGGCAACATATTCCACTGTGAGATTTGGTGCCTATGAGTTCATGAAAGAGTCTTACGAAGATAAATATAAACAAGCACCAAACACTTTAAGCTTGTTACCAATGTCCATGTTATCTGGAGCATTAGGAGGCTTAGTCGGAAATCCATCAGACGTTGTGAACATTAGAATGCAAAATGATTCCACGCTTCCACTCAAAGAAAGGAGAAACTACAAAAACGCATTCGAGGGGATTTATCAAATCACGAAGAGCGAAGGTGTGTTGTCTCTTTTCAGAGGACTTACGCCCAACTTAGTAAGAGGCGTTCTCATGACAGCCTCGCAAGTTGTCACTTATGATATAGCAAAAAAAGTTTTGGTCGACAATTTGGAAATGGATCCTACTAAAAAGTCAACACATTTTGGTGCTAGTTTAATTGCTGGTCTTGTTGCTACTACAGTTTGCTCCCCCGCGGATGTTGTGAAAACTAGAATCATGAATGCAAAGGGAAGTAGTGGTGGGGCTATGTCAATCTTGAAAGACGCAGTCAAGTCTGAAGGACCTGGCTTCATGTTCAGGGGTTGGTTGCCATCTTTCATTAGGTTGGGCCCACATACTATTGTCACCTTTTTGGTATTGGAACAATTCAGAAAGTACAGAGTTGGCATGTTCTGAAAGGAGCTTTATAGAATTTTACTTTCGACATAATACACCTATATTTCATTGGTTATTTCTTTATTTGAAATCACTAGTATCTATTTGGTTAAACCTTCATTTGATCCAACTCAGCCTTCTCGAAAGCTTCCTTCTCAGCTTCCAAGAGATACGGAATCAAGTAATGGGTGTCTTCTTCGGGTTGGACAGCCTTGTTTGGAGGCAATATTTGATGTGACAAGGCAAGTTGATGGGCTGTAAGTGTTCTGAAGTTTCTAGCATACAACTGGTCTTCAGGTAATCTTGAAATCGCTTTTTGAGCAATAGGATTTTCTTCAGCAATCAAGTCATTGAACCTTTTGGTAAGTATATGAGTTAATGATAGGGCAACTTACCCGAATTTAATCAAGACGAAAGCAAATGTGAAACCCATGATTTATACATACTTCAAGCCCATTTCCCTGTACCCTGCGTAGGCACAGAAGGTTTTTGCCACTGGGAGGACTACCTTTGATAAAGTGGGTCTGGACAAAATCCAGTCGGATGCCTTTACAATCGACGTGATCGAAGCCATTGTTAGCGGAGTTTGTAGTTGTGTGACGAACTTTCGAGTCTCAAAACTTCACTGGTGAGAATTTGCGAAATCTACCATGTGATTGGCTGATGAATCATACGCAAGATCACCTGCATAAAGAAATACATTTGAATTCTGTACATAATTGTAAGCTCATCATTTTGACATCAAGAGGTATGAAACGCGCCTTACAAAGGGCACACTTTGAAGCCTTGATTGATATGAACATCTTTTACGCTCATCAATCTTAATAGTGATATTCGTCAGTTTTCAGGTCGAAAGTATTGGGAAATGCAACTACACTCAATACATTCTCAAAACCTTTCTCTTTAAATACTTTCGCAATGTTAGGGTTTTTGCACAAAGCTAAGCCCATAAATCCGCAAGAGTTGATCCCTATACCTTCAAAATTCGAAGTTGATCTAGGTATCAACATCATATACTTCATTGTTGCACAGAAATTGAAGGAAATGTGATGGCAATCATGATCCTTCAAAACGTTAAGAGTACTTTGAAGCAACGAATAAAAGGTCATGAGCAAAACATCCCCAGACTCGCTGAAAACATTATCAGGCAATTTTGCAACAAAATGAGCAAAAGGTAAGTTTTTGTCTTGCAATGGAACTTTTGTTTGGCTGGGTATGAAGTCTTCTGAAGAATCTATCAATTTTTCTGCGAAAGACCGATGCTTGGCTGGGAGCGTCATAAATTGAACATGTTTATGCGGCTGAGAGGCACCACTTTCCGGGCCACAATTATAAAATGCAAACCAATCTTCTTTAGTTCCATCTCTAGATAATCCGCTTAAGACTGAGTAGGTCGCCAATAGTTCATTGGGGGACAATGGTGTATCCTGTGACTTGAATATCTTGGTAAGAAGCATGAAATGAGCAGGAACCACAGGAAATTTGTTTAAAACAATGCGAAACTCATTGTTTTCTCCGAAAGTATTCAAGATTGTAAGCTCAGGCTCTGGGTTTTCGAAAGGATTGCAGCCAATATCTCCTTTTTCTGGACGATTTTCAAGACTCTTGAGCACGGTTAAATGAAAATTGTAGTTTGAGCCGTTTAGTTCTCGGTTCACCAGTTCACACGAAGCGGAGTCACCCGTGAATGACAAGTCGCCATTGCGCAAAGCTGCGACATATTTAATCCACAAGTTGTTGTGAAAGTCTAGTGGCAATGATTGCATAGTGTATAATTGTGAAACGTCTCACAGGAATAACTGATGTGAGAACCAGAAATTTGACCTCAAACTATCCTTCGCGCGCGCGGCGTAAAGAAGCGTTAGATTTGATCACAGCCTCGATGTTGCCTTTGGATCGCTGGAAATATACACTTGGTATACTTTTCTCTCATAGAAACAAAAGTATATAGTGTCATATAAAAAACCTTCAAACGTTCTTTCACACAAGTGATGCTTGTCAGGGCAATCGGAGGGGGTCTGAGATTCCCCTGTTGATCTGGATACTATTTTGCCGTCAGCCAGTTATACACCAAAATACACTCAGACGCAGAAGACCTTTTTGAGCAAACATTTTGAATTTTATAAAGGGTTTCGTCTGTATTTGATTTACCAGGATACTAGGCCTATAAAATCTTGTTTTTCAAGTTTTTCAGACAAAATTCAGGAATATATTACATTTAGGTATACATGAGGATTTGAACCATTGTATCGTTACTTTTTGTGTTTCTTTGCAATGCGTCTCAATGCCCGTTGTTCGTTCTTCATAACGCCATCGACCATCTTGTACTTTCCTTTAACACCTTTAGGTCTGCCGCTCAACCCTCTATTGTGTCCCTTGGCTACCACAAGTGTAGTTTTCGGCTTCACTTTTTGCTTCTTGGTTAACTTACGCATCAAACTCAGGATTTCCTCAGCCTTATCTTTCTCGCTTTTAGCACCATCTTCGTTGATCAAATCACTCTTTTTCTTGAGTTTTTCAAGCCTTCTTAAAGCTCTCATCTTCTTTCTACCTTGTGCTTCCAAGACCTTCTTGATTGGACGAGAATTCATCTCCTTCATTTTTTCTCTGATAGCAGCGGCAGCCTCTTTTGTGATAGGCTTTGCAACCTTCGAGTGCATTTTTTCGTCGTCTAAAAACCAATCCGGCACATTCTCTTGATCTCTGAAAGCATATTTGTTGATACCCTCATTTATCAAATCGTGTTTGTTCATCTTTCCAAGAGCAACTTGATGTGCAAGCGTCATTGCCTCAACAGTATTAAGATCGATTCTCTCCTTTTGTGTTTGAGCTCTTTTAAGTTGGCGCCCAATACTTTCCTCATTAGAGTCAGAGCCGGATTCACTCTCATCTGAGCTGATATCAGCTTTAACGATTTCCATTTCGTGTTCCATTTCATGTTCCAAATCATCATCTTTTGGTTTTTGAGAGACACCATTGGAGTTGGCAACCACCTCTTTACTTGGCTTTCTCAAACCATCAAGCAACTCCTCATCACAGACCTCTGAGAATACCGAATTTGACGAAAAGAAAGCTAATGCTTGTTTCCTGGATTCTTCTTGCTGTTTTCTTTGCATGATTTGGCGGATCTGTTCATCAGAGTCCACGTCATCGTCTGTATCAGACTCAGACTCGAATGCCCTTCCATCGTCCTCACTTTCCTCATCGTTGGAATTAATTCCATCCCAAGGTTCATCATCGGCATCGCCTCTCATCATTTTCGCTCGGTAGTTTGAACTCTTTTCTGCCCTCTTTTGCTTGTACTGTTCATACATATTATCAAGCAGAGCTTCTAAGTTATCAAGTTCAGTTTCAGAGTCGAGCTCATCTGGTTTCAGCTCAAGCTCTGTACCTTCATTCAGGGTGTTTTCGTCCCAGACCATTTTCTTCTTTCCTTTGGCGAGATCATCAAGTTGCCCTGTTTTTTCAGCTGTAGTCAAGCTGAACATGGAATCTATTCCTGATTGACCCGCTTCAATACCAATAGTCATATCAGTCATCATATTCATCTGTGCACGTTTTATTTCTTTTTGCTTCATTTCATTCGCACGTTTCTTTTCCCGTCTTCTTTTTTGCTTTAACCTCTCAGTCATTTTATCGAGTTCGAAATTGATTCTTTCATCTTCAGTCTTGAAAACCTCTTTGTCTTGCGTTTCTTCAGACTCTGGTTGATCGTCCAAGCCTAATATTTCCCTTGCTTCTTTTCTAAACTTCAAGATGAGTTTGAAATCTTTCTTTCCCAAGACTTTCAAGTCCTTCACACACTCACGGAATTCAGGAGTACAGTGTCTCAATTTCTTTAAGATTTTCCATTCTTGATCATCTTTGGAAGGTTCAACTAACTTGTTTAAAGTTCCCAATACATTAATTGGTTCTTCATTTCTTACAAATTCCAAGAGGGGCATTTCTTTGTAAAGTAAGTAATCTCCTTCTTCATATCCTTGTCTTTTTCTCGTGTGTTTTTCAGGATTAAAAACCTTGGCTTCATTGTTTGGTTTGCCCTGACTTACTTCTTCAAAGACCTCTTTCAACTCCAATAAACGTGGATCTAGCTTCTTTGGAGCTTTGTAGCCCTGACAGACAACAAAGATTTCTGCGGACACATTACGAGAGGAAGGAGGCTTGGTCGCTTCTACCTTCTCGAAGAGTTGTTGAAATACCCACATCAAATTGTTGTAGTCCTTTGATCTAAAGACCTTAGTAACGAAAGTTCCTCCCTGTATCAAATGTTCTGTCGCAAGCTTCAACGCCTTCAATACTAATTGAGATTGAGTGAATGCATCTTGAACCCATCCCAAACCAACATTTGGTGCTCCATCGTGAAGGACGGTATCTGCCTTCCACGTCTTAAGGTGTCCTCTAAGCTTCGATCTGCAATCTTCCGTGGTGATATCTGATTGGAAAGTAATACAGTTGGGAAGTGGTTTTATAGGGACAATATCGACTCCGACGATCAAGGAGTTAATAGGACACAAATTGGATGCTACTTGGCACCAAGAACCTGGTGCAGCACACAAATCTACGACCACCTTCGACTTTTCTAAAAAATGTCCATACTTCTCGTTGATTTGTATAATTTTGAAAGAAGAACGTGCTCTGTAACCCTTTTCCTTTGCTAGGTAGTAGTACCGGTCCAAACGACCCTTGCTATTCTTTTTTTGAGTTTTACCCATTTTTGGCCTGATGGTAAAAAGAGATGAGAGATGAGCTTGCAAAAAAATCTAGGAGCGAGAAAAAGTCACGTGCGCAATTGACCAGTCTGCAAGTTCTTCCTTGTTCTTTTCCAAAGTGAAGGATTCGTCTTCCAACGTGTTGATATTGCTATCATTGCATAATGGACATGCACTGGTTAGAAAATCATCTAGCGATTTTTTGAGCTCAAGATCAAATGAGTGCTTGAAGTTCTGAAAAAGTTTTTTGAAGCGGTAATTGCCGTTCAGTTGTAGAAAAAACCGTGCAGCACAGTCTTTGTGACAGCCGTGGTGACAATTCTGAAAAAGCAATATGTTCTTCTCCACAAGAATGTTTCCACACAAGCAACATGATTCACCTGGTTCGATAATGGTATAAACAATGCCCTTTGCCGCATCAGAGTGTGTTTTAGCAACTTGGCTCCTCAATTTTGACGCAGTAACAGAGGAGTCCTGCATTTCTAAAGCGAGGTGGTTTATGTGCCGGTTATAGTAATGCAAAGATTGGACGATATCATTTCTGAAATGACTAACGAGCACCGACTCTGGAAGTAACGGTAAGAAGTCTTTAAATGAAATGAGATCGTTGGTACCACCATAAGCCTTTGACAAGCTGAAAAGATGAGTCATGACTCCACCGAGGCGGGAGGTTTCACCCACTGGTACTTTTTCTTTTACTCTGGCAGAAATAGAACTCTGAATTACAGATGTCTCATATTCATTCACTGGTGGTGTGTCAGGATCAGAACCCCTGGATGCCCTTTCGATCAAATACCGGGCATACTCAAACCACAACGTTTTCCTGACTCTTAAAGTATCATTCTCGAGTCTGGTACTGCTGTCGTTTCGAGTTGAAAGGTCCTCTAACTCCCTTTCATTTTTGGAAAGTTCAGCCGCATCGTGATTATGCCAATTTTCATCAAATTGTCGTAGAACAAGCTCCCCTAAATAGCTCGATCCTTTGCTCAAAGCAAGCTTTAAAGCGGTCTCATATTGTTTAAGATCATTGACGAGAATGGACACCGCTGGCTCGATTCTTTTAAAGCGCAAGCACGACCGTAATATTAAGTTGGAATCAAATGGCCTGCCTCGCTCTATGCCATTCACATTACTGCGCAAGAATTCAAGTGTTCTCATGACATCTTTAGTGACCTCTGATTCTTCATGAAATACCGATTGTGATATAAGCAATAATAGATATTGATTATTTAAGAGCATGCTACTTTTGCCTTTTTCACAAATGATCTTCAGGAGGAAGGTGAGAGTCGGGTTTTTGCCGTAAGGAAGTGTCCGATGAAGTTGATTGAAATGTATGATAGCAGGTAAAATGATTTCAAAGTCAAAGTCATCTAAACTTAGCCAGAAGTCAATGGTTGCTTGTGGACATTTGGACAACATTGGAAAAGAGGCCTCCAATATAATTTCATTCGAATTTTGATTCTTCTGACCGTGAATTTTCCTGATTGTCTGAATGGCCTCAGACCATGACTCGCATTCGATATGATGGCGCGCAATGAATTCATAATCCTGCAACAAATCTGCAAAACTCAAAAGAATTTCATCGAGATGCGCCTTTTTCATCAATTCATATATAGTGGGTTTGTCCACAAATTGAAGATTGCCTTTTAAAAAAGAAAGCAAAGAAATGCCCAAGTTTCCGATTGTATTTTTGGATTTAGTTCGGGTCTCGAGTTTGGTATCGGAATTAATGCCACTCATGGATTGTAAGTTGATTGTTTGCATAGCTTGTAAAAAACATTTGACGACCCAAGCCGAGAGAATAGTCTTATTCATTCTTTCCTCGCCATGCCGAGATTGATGCATTTTAAGCAGAAGGTACTCCCTCAATAATCCCCTAGAGGTAGATCCAGAAAAGGCTCTCTCTTCATCGATACTTAATAGCATCAATGCTACCTTCTCAAAAGGTTCTTGCAGTTTTGCAAGTAGTTCAATACCCCTTTTGAGACTGTCAAAGCGTTGTTTCAGCTCGGTTGAAGACTCCTCTGAAACTTCTACGCCGAAACCGCCCTCGCGAAGTAGTTCATATGCTTGTTTAGCGTAAATAAGGTTTCTTATGGCACATGCCTCGTTTGATTTTTCCGATTCTACCATTTTCAAGGCTGTGTCGTAGTCACCCAATTTGTAGAAGGAAAACCACAAGGACAAGTATTCATTTGAGACTGTTATCTCATAAATATTACTATTCGTGAAAAGCCAACGTGTCTGGCCATTTGACTCGGCCGTAAGTCCCAAAACTGACTCATTTCCCACGGTGGGTGTCAAAGGTACCACCAAAGGTGCGCTCTCTAATAGCTTACTCAGACCAATCAAATTTCTGGAGTCTGCAGAAAGGTACAAAAGGTAATGGTCAGTCGTTACCATAGACAGTTTTCCTAAACGTATATTGTAATCTCCCCAATCGATTACTTTACTAGATGACAAATAAAATTGCAGATCGTTTGAATGTACTTTTCCGGATTCGGGGGATATGCAATAATACGTGGAAGAAGAAGCATAGAAATGGTATTCCATGTTCTGCTTGAACAACACTTTTGATTCTAATGGGGTTTGACGAAGAGCTTGCATAATATCTTGCAGAGTGGTCAGCTGGCATGCCCATACGCTAGTCCTGCCGCTGGAAGTAAAAATCTGGACCGAACAATCTTTATGGAAAATGATTCCAGAGATTTTTTCTTTCATGTTGTGAATTTGTCGAATGAATTTGTCGTCTCGTTTGTTTCCCTGTGTTTCAGGATCATGACATTTAACAGATGCCACATAGACTATACCTTCTTTTGTTGCGATGATGAGATCTCCGATAGAGTTCGTGGAGTTACCAAAGACAACGTGCTCAATTTTCAAGCCTTTGAAACGGGGTAAGGGTTTGAATTTATTGTATGAGCTGTGTAGAAGGTAATGATAGCATGAATTCATTTGGATTATAAGAATTTCACCATTTAGATGTAGCCATGAATTTGTTAAAATCAAATTGTCAGCCACCTCTCCTGGTAACATGACCCGTGTAACACTCAATGGGTCACTGAGATCAATTCGGAAAACAGCGCTTGTTGTCAAGATGAACATCATGTTCTTCTCAACAAGGAGATCACGTACTTCATTGGAAATATCAAATTGTAGTTGAACAAGCTCCAAGTTTATTTGCGGGGCTACATCTCGTAAAACAGATGAAAACGGTACGTCAAGCTGAGTACTGTTCATTTTAATAAAGACTCAATGGAACGAGGGTTGGCCCAAGTGACTGAATAATGAAATCAGTCTTGTGAAGAATCAATTCAGACTGGTGAGAGATATATTATAGCTTTTTCAAGAGCTCACTCTAGACTACTATGCAAACAGCGAAGATAAAGGTCGCATGGCAAAGATACCTGAACGCCCGCAGTGCGGAAATCGACTGAAATCACTTGAAAGCGTGCGGAAACCAATAATATTTGCCCCTCAAGATCATGACCACTTTCGCGTGATATCAACTATACAATAGCAAACCAGCTTAATCACTTTCGTTCGAAATGAATGTGTTGAAATTGCAAAAAAAATTCCCAGACTTAAGACAAGAAGATTTCTTTAGCATCATTGAAGATTTCAGAAAGATTGATTTGGAAGATAAAGGCTGGGTCGAAAAGAAGGATGTTATCAATTCTATTTCGCAGACAGGGAAGTATTCTTATGACGAAACGAGAGAGACATTGAAGACCGTTGATGTTGACGCTTCTGGGCACGTTGAATTGGACGACTACGTTGCTTTGATTCTGAAGTTGAGTGAACGTGGACCGAAAGTTTCACACATTTCTCCTGTCGGAGGCCGGCCCGGCGGTGTATCCGATGTGGTACCTCCAACTAGTCCAGGAAAAGCCTTTACCGGTGTAGCGCCAATTGCTACAGCTAATACAGCGAATAAAACATTCTTGAGTGGTAAGACTTCTGGCACTACCCATACAATAGATGATGAAGAAAGATCTGCTTTCACTCGGCATGTGAATTCAGTTCTCGCAGGGGACGAGGTAATTGGTGAAAGATTACCTTTTGATACTGACTCATTTCAAATCTTTGATGAATGTCGAGATGGGTTGGTTTTATCCACTTTGATCAACGATTCTGTCCCTGACACCATTGATACCCGTGTTTTGAATTTGCCCAATACGAAGAGAAAAACCCTCAATAATTTTCAAATGTCTGAGAATGCAACGATTGTGATAAACTCAGCTAAGGCGATTGGCTGTGTGGTTGTCAACGTGCATTCTGAGGATATCATTGATGGGAAAGAGCATTTGATTTTGGGCTTGATTTGGCAAATCATTCGTCGTGGGTTGTTGTCGAAAGTCGACATAAAGCATCATCCAGAATTGTATCGCTTATTAGAAGAGGACGAGACCTTAGAGCAATTTTTGAGATTACCCCCTGAACAGATTTTGTTGCGCTGGTTCAATTACCACTTGAAAAACTCAGGTTCCGTTAGAAGAGTCTCAAATTTTTCCAAGGATGTTTCTGATGGTGAAAATTACACAATTTTATTAAACCAGTTGAAACCAGAATATTGTGATTTATCTCCATTACAAACTAGTGACTTATTGCATCGGGCTGAAGAAGTTCTAGCTAATGCCGATAAGATCGGCGCTCGCAAATATTTGACACCAAAATCTTTGGTATCTGGAAATCCAAAGTTGAATCTCGCTTTTGTGGCACACTTGTTCAATACTCATCCTGGGTTGGATCCTGTGGAAGAGCATGAAGTCCCGGAAATAGAAGAGTTTGACGCTGAAGGGGAAAGAGAAGCAAGGGTTTTCACTCTTTGGTTGAATTCTTTGGATGTGGACCCATCAATTGTTTCCCTCTTTGAGGACTTAAAAGACGGATTGGTACTTTTACAAGCATTTGAAAAGGTTTTACCGGGTAGTGTTTCCATGAAACACATTAACAAGAAACCTTCAAATGGAAGTGAATTGTCTCGATTTAAAGCCTTAGAGAATGCAAACTATGGAGTTGAAATTGGTAAAGCAAACGATTTCTCCCTAGTTGGTATTGATGGATCTGACATTGTGGATGGAAATAAATTGTTGACTTTGGGGCTTGTTTGGCAGCTTATGAGGCGCAACATTACAAACACTTTGTCTAGTTTGGGTAATGGCAGAAACGTCTCTGACACGGATATTTTGAAGTGGGCTAACAGTCAGGTGACTAAAGGCGGTAAAACGTCAAAAATCAGGTCGTTCAGTGATCATTCTTTGTCTAATGCAGTTTATCTACTTGACGTCTTAAACGGTATCAGACCTGGTTATGTTGACTACGACTTGGTTTATCAGGGCGAGCGCACGACAGACGAAGAAAAATACGCAAATGCGAGATTAGCCATCTCTATTGCAAGGAAAATAGGGGCACTCATTTGGTTGGTTCCGGAAGACATTAATGATGTTAGAGGAAGATTGATTTTATCCTTCTTAGGAAGCTTAATGAGTGTGGCTGAAGAACACTAGGCTCGACAAAGTAAGAGCGGATCCTATTCACGATATGGTGAGCAAATGCGTAAATGATTCATATTACACCCGTACACCTTAACGCGCCTATCCAATAGAATCTGAACAAATAAAGTCGATGTGTAGATCTTTCATCTTTAGAGAGTAAATCATAATCATGTCAAAGGTGGTCCTTCCGTTCACAGAAGCCAACACCAAAAGGGTTTCCTCTTTGTTTAGAAAAGCGTTAAGAATCGCGTTTGATTCTAATCTTAAGTTTCAGAGTTACAGAGAAGAGACGGTAAGAATAAGGTCTCAGTTCGAGAGAAACAAACTCATCCTGGATCCCAATGAATTAGAAGTTGTCATTGCCAATACCCGTGCAAAATTAGCAGAATATACTCATCCAGATCCATATATTCCTCCTTTGAGACCAGGTGGTACAAAGTATGAAAGAAACCTTCCTCCACCAAAGGAACCTGTGGTGCCCGGTGATTGGTAAAACACAAGTCAAATCACGAGATAATTGAAAAAGTCGAAGGCTACATCAATTTTGGAGCGATTTCACAGCGCAGACGGAGATATTTTTTTCGGTGAAGTGAGAGAGCTTTTCGGGAATACATAAAATAATCTAAGTCATTCTTAATTCTTACGTTTTTTACTGGTAGATATCAATCTCAAACACCTCCACATGTCTCCAAAGTTCTATTCCTGGTACAACCGGATTCCCCTGAGTTTTCGAGTACCGTGCCGTAAAGACCATAAGAATAGTTGACCTTGGCTATAAACCGAGTGGAAAATAAGTGGCTTCACGTTAAAACTCGTCTGTACACTATAATTCACGTCATCTGCTCGTCTCCTTTAGCCCTTCACTCTGCTCATTCCATTCCATTCATTCTATTTTTTCTTTTGTTCTTTATGAAAATAACAAACTTTTCATATTTCAGTAATGAAATTTGACCATATATAAGGAAATAGCAAAAATACAAACTTAGACGATCTCGATTATCACTAGTATATTTATATTACACTCAATGATCGTATTATCCACGACGAGGGTTTCGAAAGGTATGGTTTTGCATGGAGGCGGGAGCAATTGGAAGATC